GTGAGCTTCAGACCAATGACAGACTGTCTCAAAGGAGATAGCATTCCTGAAGATGACAGCCAAGGTTATCCTCAGGCCTACACATACACATGCATAAAAATCCATCATTACAATAACCATGACATGCTTTGTGGCACTGTGGAGCATGGGACATAAACAATGGAAATAGTCATCCAATCATCTTGTGTCCTGGCACATCGTCACAGTGCTCTGTACTGTTTGCTGAAGCTTGTGGTTTGGTAAGGTATAGACTTCACCGGCCTGCACAAGCATGGGCTCTAGAATACTGTGCTGCGGGTCAGCACTTTCTGCTCAGCAAGAAATCATAGCTGTGACCCAGGATAACTGTTCTCATACTTGGCACTCTGAATTTGCCAGGCCTAAAACTCTCAGGTGCCAAAAATCTTGTTCCGTTTACTGCTGGAGTATGGTGTTTCCCATTGCATGTTCTCTCTCTCTCTCTCTCTCTCTCTCTCTCTCTCTCTCTCTCGTGTGTGTGAGCGCAACCATATACATGTGCACACATATGCTCACACACAAGTGTGTACATGCATGGTGGAGGCCAGAGAACAACTCCAGGCACTGTTTCTTAGGAGCATCCCACATGCATTTTTTTAAAAAGATTTTATTTTTAGTCTGGGGGGGTGTTATATGTATATGTGTGGGTTCCTACAGAGCCAGAGGTGTTAGAACCTTCTGGAATTACAGGCAATCGTTGCTGCTTGACATGGGTGCTGGGAACCAAACTCAGATCTTCTGCAGGAGCAATCTGCGCCCTTAACCGCTGGTCAGTCTCTTTACCGTGGTGTTTTGAAATGTGCTCTCTCACTGACCTTGACTAAGCAGTTGATCTATGCTGGCTAGCCAGCAAACCCTAGGGGTCCACCTGCCTCCACCTCCCCAACTCTGGGATTACAGATGTGTTCCCTTGTGCCTGGCCTTTTATGTGGGTGCTGGGAATCAAACGTGGGGCCTCATGCTTGTGCAAGAAGTACTTTACCAACTAGGTCATCACCCCAGTCTTTGAAATTACTTTATGAAGTAGTTGGGACATCACAGCCTCATGTTACAAGATTGAAACGCAGTTCCCCAGGTTCTTCATGTATGGCTTCGTGGCCCCAAGCAGACAGTTGCATCAGGGAGAGGGAGGTCATGGGCAGGGTGGTTAAGGCAAGTGGGGACATTTAACCATTCTAAGTTCAGTTCAGCATGATAAATTATTTTCGCAGGATTGCAGCACCGTCACCATTATAGATTTAAAACACTTTTCCATGTCTTCAGACATAAACTTTGAGCCCCAGAGATGCTTCAGAAGTTGAGTGCTTGCTCCATTTGCAGAGAACCTGAGTTCAGTTCCCGTCAGGCAGCCACCTGTAACTCCACCTCTGGAGGCTCTGATGCTTCTGGCCTCTGAGGATACCGGCACCCAAACATGCACGTGAGCCCACACAGAAAACACACACACGTAAGCCTTGGTGGCTACTGAGCAATTGTTCTCTATTCTCCCATCCCATGCTCCCTTGGCGGGCAGGCTCTTGTTTATTTCCTGCTGTTTAAGAGTTTGCCTATCTAGGAATCCTGAAGAAGATGGGGAGGAAGGATTGTAGAAGCCAGAGGGGTAAAGGACACAAGAAAACCCACAGATCAACTAACTGGGCTTGTAGGAGCTCACAGAGACGGCACTAATAACCAGGGCGCCTGCATGAGACTGACCTCTAGGCCCTCTTCACATACGTTATAGTGTGTAGCTTGGTTTTTGTGTGGGACTCCCAACAGTGGGAACAGGGGCTGTCTCTGACTCTTTTGCCTGCTTTTAGATCCTTTTCCTTATTCTTCATTGCCTTGTCCAGCCTTAATATATAATAATACATTGTATATTAATAAAATGCGAAGAGGGGCCTAGTCTTACTGCAACTTGATATGCCATGTTTGGTTGATATCCATGGGAGACCTGCCCTTTTCTGGAGAGAAATAAAAGAGGAGATGGGGGGGGGGGGGCGGTGAGCAGAGGGGAGGGGAGGGAGGGACTGGGAGGAGAGTAGGGAAGGGAAACAGGTCAGGATGTAAAACAAAAATAAATGCGTTTGCCTGTCTAGACAGCACATTAAGTGGCATCATGCAATACGGGTTCTTCTGTGTCACTGGTCTCACTTAGCATGGTGTTCTCAAGGTTCGTTTCTTCTTCAGGCTGCATAAATACTGCACTCTGCACTCATTTCCCACACCAGTCCTCTGCAATGTGGAGCTGAGCTGATTCCTCCTTGGGTTTACCAGGAATAATGCTGTCACCGACATTGGTATCCAAGTGTTCATCAGTGTCTCTGATTCCACGTTTCGAGGTCATATACCTAGGAGCAGGGTTAGTGTTTTCTAGAGAAACAGACCCGATAGAATGAATATAAGAGATTTATTAAATTAGCTTATGCGATATGAGTCAAGTTAGCAACACAGCTGTCTCACTTCTGAGAGGTCGAGGAACCAGTACTTTCTCAGTTCAGGAGAAGGCTGTGTGCCTCAACAGTTCCATCTGGCACAGAAAACCTGGAGGGGTCCTGGAAGAAGCACGGGAAAAGCTGGCTTCTGAGGTCTGTGAAGGACTCCTCAGCAGCAGTGGGGCAAGGTCAGCGGAACAAACGTGAATAATCTTCCGCCAGCCGCTTTTCGCCAGGGCTGTCGCCAATCCTCCCTCTCTTGACAGTCGTTTTCCCACTCCAGTTAAGATAATTCTGCAACTGAGGCTCCCCGCTCAGGTGCGTCTAAATTGTTTCAGGCTGGCATTTGAAACCAACCATGACAGAGGGTACACATTACCTTACATGTGACCTTCTTGTGTTGTGCTGTGTGTATATGTGGAGAAGTGTTGGTGTGGGTGTGCGCATGTGCTGAGGCCAGAGCCAAATGCCTTCCTCAATTACTCTCATTTTATCTTTGAGACAGAGTCTCTCTCTCTCTCTCTCTCTCTCTCTCTCTCTCTCTCTCTCTCTCTGATCCTGGAATTTTACCAATCAGTCAGGCATCTCCCGGCCTCTGCCTCTCAAGCAGTGGGATTATGAGAATGTACCTCCATACCTGGCTTTCTTTATTTTACATGGTTGCTGAGGACCAAACTCAGGCCTGTACAGGAAGCACTCTACCAACTGAACCTTCTCTCCAGCAGCTATGTATTACTTTTAAAAAGACACTGAAAGGGCCCAGCCTCTCCACAGCCTCCTCAAATTTTTTCCATCTTTTCTTATTCTTCCTCCTTTTACAATAACCCACTAAGGATGTAATGTGGGAGATTTGGCTTGCATTTCTCTAATGATTAGTGACATTGAGTATCCTTTCTTCTAAGGTCTATTTATTTCTACCTATGGGGAGTGGGATGTGCACTTGAGTGCAGTGCCCATGGAGGTCAGAAGAGGGTACTGGATCCTCTGCATGCTGAAGTTATAGGTCATTCATTGTGAGCAACTCAGCCTGGATGCTAGGAACCAAGCAAGAGCTCTTAACCAAAATGAACAAAAGGACAGAATACAAATTGTCTTAGGTTTCTGTTGCCGTGAAGAGACACCATGACCACAGCATCTCTTATAAAGGAAAACATTTAATTGGGGCGGCTCACTTATAGTTCCGAGATCTAGTCCATTATCCTCATGGCAGGAAAGAAGGAAGGATGTAGGAAGACATGATACTATTGAAGCTGAGAGTTCTTACATCTTGATCAGAAGGCAACAGAAAGTGAATTGAGGCACTGGGGGCAAGGCTTGAGCATATATGGGACCTCAAAGCCCACCCCCACAGTGGCACACTTCAACAAGGCCATACCTACTCCAACAAAGCCACACCTCCTAGTAGTGCCACTCCCTGAATTTATGGGGACCAATTATATTCAGACTACCGCACAGATCAACATGTAGCATCACAGCTAATGAAAGTGCAGGGTTGTGTAGCCCAGCTCTAACGGATGCATCTACAAAACACTCCAGCCCCTAAGGCTGAGGGAACGTTAGAAAAGAGGGGCAGAAAGATTGTAAGAGCCAGAGGATCGGGGAGTTAGCTTTGAGATCGTCTCCTAGTAATGTCAGAAGCTACATTAAGTCTACACCCATAAAATCTCACCAACATAACTGCCTAAGCATGAGATGAATAAGGATGATACCAATAGACATGCCATACTGGACAGGTAAAAGCCCAAGAGGTCTCAGTCCTACACAGAGAGCTACAGGCAATTGAGCTGGGAGCAGGAGGAAAGGTGGAAACACACTAATTGGTTGTGTGGTGCCAACAGGCAGCCCTAAAAACATATAAGCAAGTAACATTATATGAACCCAATGGGTTATATTTAGTAATATACATGGATATATAAATACATGTATGCATGCAATAACAATTAGTGGAAAAATAAAGAGTCAATGAATTTGAAGGAAAGCTGGGAAGGGTATATAGGAGAGTTTGGAGAGAGGAAAGGGAAGGGAGAAATGTAATTATAATTTCAAAAATTAAAATTAGTTTTATTTTGTCTCAAAAATCACATTATGTTTGCATATGTATGACCCTTGGCATACATGTAGAGGTCAGAGGACAACTTGTAGGAGTTTGTTCTCCCCTTCCACCATATAGATCCCAGGTGTTGAACATGTGTGGTTAGGATGGGTAGCAAGGACCTTAACTGGATAAGAACTCAAAAGTTCTCCTTTTCTCTTAGGTCTTTTATGGCCCTTTATAGATATTGGTAAATGACTTTTAGTTGAACTCAAGAGTTCTTGATGATGTGCTCCAGCCAACCCTGGTGTCTTCTTGGCTACCAGGTTGCTATGACCCAGGGCTAGGTGACTTTGTAACATTGATGTCAGTGCTCTGCATCCAGCAGGCAAGGACAGCTTGACAAAGTAGCTCCTGGCCCCCTCCTTCCTCCCAAAGAAGTAATACTGGTTCTACAATCACCCAGGTCCTTTGCCACCTGCTTTCTTCCACTTCCCAAGCTGACGCTCTTTGCCTGCTGCTGTCTCTCCTTCCAGGGATGCCGGATGGAACTCTGGATACAGTGTGCGCAGAGGAAACAGGCAGTGAAGAGGACCTGTACGAAGAGCTTCACAACTCGGGGCACCACTACAGCCACCCAAGAGGAGGTGGAGAGCAACTGGCCATCAACGAGGTAGTGTCAAGGAGGCTCGGCCAGTGGAAGAGGGTCCGGGAGCAGGAGCAATGCCAGGCAGGAGTTCTGGTAGAGTGAGCAAAGCAGGTCTTCCTGTTATTCCAGTTCAAGTGACAAATTCCACATAGACTGTGCATGAAGCAAGGGAAAACTGATAAGCCAGTTTCCCTGTGGACACAAGCTCAGAGTATTGCTGTTGCTATGACAACCATGTGCCACTTAAAGGTTTCTCTGTTTCCTAGCTAAGCAGATGAAATTAGTGAGAGATTTCATCTGGGCAGAACTACCTCCCATCACAAGAACTCCTTTCAATTTTTAACTGACACTTATTGTGTATGCTGTATTTATTTGTCGTATGACGGGTAATGAACGTACCCATTGCCTCAAAAATTTACTATTTTTTTATGTTGGGAAAATTCAGAACCTCATTCACTAGCTCCTTTGAACTATGTGTGTTATGTGTTCATATTGCACGGATAAACACGTGTGTTCATATGTATGCACACATATGACCTCATGGTAACCTCAGCTCTTGTTCTTCGGTCGCTGTTCACTTTGATTTTTGAGACAGGGTTTCTCACTGGCCTGGAGGTACTCAAGTAGGCTTGGCTGGCTGGCAGGTGGTAGCCCCAGGGGTGTCTCTGTCTCTGCCATCAATTAAAGACTGGCTTTATTTTTTTACATGGGTTCTGTGGGTCCAACTTTTGTCCTCATGTTTATAAGTCATGCATGTAAGTCAAGACTGTGCTAAGACCACACTATCATCCCAGCCCCTCCTTTAAGCTATTCACATGCGCATATAGATTTATACACACACATGCAGAGGCTACCAGCTCAGGATCTGCCTGTTTCAGCCCTGCAATACTGCGAATACGTGTGTATGTAGCCTGGCATTTTGATAGTGCTGGGGATTGAACTCAGGTCCCTATGCTTGCAGAGCAAGTACTTTTACCACTGAGCAATTCCCCCAGGCCTCTTGAGCAGTTCTTAATTGAATGCACCAGCGCTACCCCACTGTGCTACAAAGTACTAGAGGATATACCTCCTTTCCAGCTGTCGGCCCCTCTTCACACACACACACACACACACACACACAAACACACACACACCAGCCTTTAATTAGCATTTCCTCAGAAAATTTGAAGCTTAGGTTCTCCATTAAATAGTCACACACACTCCTGTTTCTCACTGGGGAGAGGGTGTGAGCTTGTTGTCCTGCATAAACACGAGCCCCTGTATGTGTTCCTGCTTCACCCAAATGAATTCAGGTCTTGCAGTACTGAAGAGTTTTCATTAGCAGACGATTCTCAGGCAGCTGTGTTATCTGTGAGTGGACGGCAAGTGCACCTGTCTATTTGGGTGAGGGGACAAAGACGCAGCTCCACTGTCACCCTCAGCAGCCTCAGGTGTTCTTTTAGGAACCTCAGGTCAGGACCAAAGCTGGATTCATGGCTCCAACCCAGAAAGGAATTTCAGGCCTAGGCAGTTTGAAGCAGAGTCCACGGATATTTTAGTATAATCTTAAATGCAAGTGCTGAGGGAGAAAGAGAGATGTTGAGTAAGGATACATGTAACCAAGTGTGGGTGTGGCCGCTTCAAGGAAAACAGCACTAATGCCTTGCCTTAGCCATGTGCACTATTTTGGTGGGCCTCGGATGGCGTCTTAAAAGGTTGCTAACAAACCCTTTTCCTCTTCCTTTTCTCTCATTTTTTGATAAAATGGGATTTAGCGGCTCTGGAGGGGGAGATATGCTGGATTATATTTTAACTATATATAAGTTTACATATAGATATATACATCCCAATAGAATCATAACCTTTATATATGTGTGTGTGTGTGTGTGTGTGTGTGTGTGTGTGTGTGTGTAATTACAACCTGATAACATGACATCCTGTGTGACTTCTAGGGTTGCTCACAGGGTGGAGACCATGTCCTTGCTCTGTAAATGCAGTGTCTGTTGAGGTTCCTCGAAAATGGCAGGTTTGTAGCTGAGAAAGAAGAAAGGTTGTAAGCAGTTGCTAATTGCGATGGAAATGTTGCTCTCCCACCCAAGAGTGCCCTACTCCCACCCCCGAGACAAGAGGCTTCAAGCAGATTCGTGAGTGAAGGGGCTTCCTCTCCTTTCTCACGTCCCTGACTTCTTCCCATCCTGCCTTAGACAGCTCCAAAAGCACTGTTGGGTGTGGTACCTTCCTTACACGTAAAACTGAGTAGGGAAGTTCTCGGCAGGTGACCTCTTCTCAGAGGCCCAGGTCTAGACAGTGACTGTTTTCTTTGTAGCACTTCTGCATGGCTGTGAGCTGCCAGTGCATCTGGATGGTGGAAAGGGCTGTTTGAGCTCTGGGTGAGAAGATGTGCTTCACAGTGGTGTGAACAACACGTTGTCTGGAGGGAGCTCATCCGTGGGAGAGCAGCAGCTTCTCTCATGACACCAGCCAGGAAGCAGAGGACCTGGGCTGGCAGCAGGGCCTGGCTCCGCTTCTGAAAGTCCAGCCTCAATGACCCAGCTCCGAAAACCACGTCTTCTCACCCCAGGTTTCTAAAACTTCCCTGAACAGTGTCAGAAGCCAGGGAGGTGAGCCTATAAGGGGAATTTCACATGTGAACCACATCCTTTTTTTTTCTTTTTTACTATTTTATATTTTTTGTTTTTGTTTGGTGATGCTGATGGCTAAAGCTCAGGCCTTGCTCATGTGAGTTAGCCTTGTTCCACTAAGCTATGCCCCAATACTCTAATAATGATTGAAAAGAGTTGTTCCCCGATGCTTGCTGCAGAGCTTGGGAGATGACCCTTACAGACATGAGAACCTGAGTCTGATGGTTTCACACGGAACCCATGTGAAAAAGCTGGGTACAGTGGTATGCACTTGTAATCTTGGTGCTTGGCAGATGGTAGATCCCTGAGGCTAGCTAGTCAGCCAGCCTAGCCTGATTGGCAAACTCTAGGCCAGTGAGAGACTTTATATATATATATATATATATATATATATAAAAAAAAGCCAGCTCTTAAGAAACACAATGGAGGTTGTCCACTGACCTACACACACAACACTTTTTCACTGGCCCACATACAGGTGCATCTGCTTCACACACATATTATTGGTAATAACACCCAGTGTAAAAATCTGTGAAACACAGAGAAAAAAAAGCATGCAAATAAGTTAAAGTTTCTAATTAAAGAAGTAAATCTGTGTGGGGAGGGGGTCTTGAACCTAGGGCCTTGGAAATACTAAGTGCATGTTATACCACAAAGCTCTACTCCCAGCCCCAGTCGTTCTCCGGAACTGACCTTCATGAACTTTTTTGATGGAGCGTTCTCATCTTCTTTATAGACAAAATCCAGAGATGATGGTCAGACTTAGCTTTAGAGAACCAGGCTGTCTTCCTCACCTTCCTCAGAGCGAGGAAAGGATCCCAGACACCCTGTGGGTGGTATGGAGCGTGGAGGAGGCAACTGAATGTTGATTCCTTCACTCCAATATGAGATGACCAGGACACGGCATGGGGACAGACTGGAAAGAAGACCATAACTTGCTGTGGCCGGTTCTGAGTAGGTCTCAATAATGGCAACCATAGTGAAAGACACGGAGACGCCTGTGGGCAGGCTCCTTGACTGTCCTGCCATGCCACACTGCTGGGTTCTTGGGTCTTACAGCTATGTATTTCCTTCCCAGGGTGAAATTTTGGAAAGGTACATCTTGAGTTTATGAGCTCTTTGGTTGTAGACGGGGCTGCAGGCACAGAACTGTGGCTAAGGAGTCCCCAGAGCCAGGGCTACCATATAAGAACCGGGAAGTTCTGAGGCAGGTGGCACACACATGCAGGGGCCCACGAGACAGCATAGATGGTGTGCGTGTGGGGAGGGCCTTTGAGGAGAGGACGAGCTGTGTCCTGAGGAGTTAGTTCCCTCAGTGCCAACTGCACTACTTAAAATAGTTTACTTCTTTGTTGGCTCAAGATCTTTCAGGGGCCATCCAGTCAGGGATGGGAGCTCCTTGCAGTGATGCAGGGCTGTGCCGGGAAAAGGCTGCCTCCTTATCGGGGTACACTCTTCACAGTTACCCCAGTGGAGCGCCAGTACTCCTAGATCCAAACAGAAAAAGCAGGGGAGTGGGTCTCTAAAGGGGGCAGGGCAGGCATAAAGGATGTCAGCCCATCTAACTGTGGCTCTGGGGATAGAGTCAAGAAAGACTGTACTTTCTGACCTGCAGAAGGCATTGAGTAGATTCTAACTAGAGCTCTGGAAAGATGTAGGGGGTGATTTCTGGGGATGGCTGGCTCCTTTGCCTTCCTTGGGTACCCCCTTCCCTCCCCTTGGCCATTGTCTGTTGCCTGTAGGGACTCAGCAGGAAGCTCTGTTGGGGGTTAGCGCGAACTTTATCCTTGGACATTGTTGTAGCAGGAGGTGTCAAAGGAAGTGTCCTCAGTGATGTTGGGCCTGCCATAAATCACATTCTGACTTGTATTTTCTCAGAAGTAGGTGTCATATTGTAGATTGTGAACCTTTCCTGTTCATGCCACCATTAGGAGAAAAAAAAGGGACTTGTCAAATTCTTTAAGAGGTTTAAAAAAGCATTTCAATGATGTCTCTGTGTGTGGGTACACACATATGGCCAGAAGAGGACATGGGATTCCCTGGAGCTAGAGTTATGGTGGCTATAAGGTACCAGCGTTGGATACTAGGAACCTGACTTGGGTCCTCTGCAAGAACATTATGTGTTCTTAACTACTGAACCATCTCTAAAGCCCCCAGACTTCCCAAGTTTTTACAGAGGGGATCCCAACTCCTCCAGCCGAGAGTGTGATAGCTAGTGGGGATCTGAAAGGCAGTTTGCATTCTGGGTACCTGGGGCGTGACTGCCGTGCTTACTTACACAGGTGTGCACACTGTAGGTATAGCGTGCAGATGTGTAGAAGGGCCCAGTCCTTACAAAGGGCTGAGCATGCAGGAATGGGCTATGTATATGATGCCTGTCTTTTCATGTGAGGAGCATGAGAA